AGTTCATCAAAGAAAGAACAAAACAACAAGATTAATGAAAAGCTATTATATGGTGAAATAAAAGCATGAATATCAGTTTGTAATTTCAAATGTTGATGATCAAAAGTATATTATCATCTGTAAATTTTGTATTTATCTAATAAAACCATATGAGCTAAATATATCATTAACTGATTAACTTTGTCATTTTCATATGTTTATCTTTCCCATCTGTATTGTATATTTATTTGACATCTGTAATATAGTCCTTAGAATATTTATTTGGCTGAACATATTTCAATGCTTTTCTAATAAACAAACCCTCATGTCTTCCTGCAAATTTGCCAGTTCATTTCGCAACTCATTCATTCGTTCTGCTGTTTGCTCCTTTTTTCGTCCAATAATTGCTGCATTTTGTCGGAAGAATGACAGTTTTCCAACCTGCCAAGAAGTAACGATTAGTACTAAAATGTGCAAAAATACAGATTTTCACAGGGTAAAAACAAGTGCATTGAAAAATATAGAAAAAATAAATTGCTTTTCACTAATTGCCTTTGAATTTCACTATTACATCAAAGATTACAGCACACAGATACTATGTGAAAAAATACTATGACTAAAAATGCACATTTTCAGTGTACATTTGAAAAAAAAACTACCTTGCTCTCAGGGCTGTCATCTTCTTCAACCTCCTTCATACGAGCTTCATTCAAGTTATTGATCTCTGATGTTAGTACACGTATCTAAAAATAAATATTGGGAGGAAAAATGATAGATAAATAGCATTTACACAGAATATAAATCTTCAGGTAACCTTATCACATATTCACAGTTTAACTGCATATAAACAACTTCATGCTTTGTCATTACCTGCTTATTCACAGCTTCCAGCTCCTGTTGACCCATTGCTGGCTGTGCTGCAACCCTCTGAAGTGTAGAAACAATTCTCTGTTTTGCAGCAACTTCTTTAGGCAGTTTGTCATTCACTATGTAGCTATTTACATTTACATCTTCTTCTAGCCTCTGCAGCAAACCTGTATAAAATCCATATTAGAGAAAGTTTTGAAAAAATCCAAAGCAAATGCAGACATACATCAAATTATGTGTAATCACACCTCATGATCAATAAGAATACCCAAGCATGTTAACTCTAATCTAACTACCCCTGAAAATAACAAAATCTGTAACTGAAGTAAATCAAGAGACGACTTGGCAAAAGTGCTTTACACATTCCTTATATACTTGTTTCTTTATATCATTTCTGTATATCATTCAGGAGACCTTTTTTAACAGAACACCATAACAGATGTGAGCTTTTATGAACACTTAATATTTAGCATGTGGCAGTTCTATGTGAAATAATCTTGACTTTTAGAGAATAAAATATAAAGCCCAAAGATACCAGCCCAGTACAAAGAACAAACACCGTCAAATACATGATTTTTTGCTATATGTTTGACTGCCTGGTCTCTTTCACTAAATAAATGCTCATTTAGGTTTTCTGGCTTACTCTCCGGGTAAAAAAAGGGTGTGTGAAAAATATAAAAAATACAAATATGAGTGGCAGGATTAGCTCAGAATGAGATGCCAAATGGAATTCTGATTGAAAAAAAAAAGTTATGATATACAATACAGCTATAGGCTCTCCATCATGTCATGTATGCCACAGCAGTTAGATCAAGATAGTCATTCCATGAATCCAATAAAATTATGGCAACACTGGAGATAATTACAGGGATGAAGTCAAAATTAAAACATTCAAATCATATTGAACATTAGACAATAAAATCTTACTGCTCCTTTACAATTGTACTGCTTTATCAATGAAAACTATTACCTTCTGGGGTAGTCCCCATCCCGGCCTTTCTAATATCCTTCAGCTGATTCTGAAGTCGTAAGATCCTTTGTTCTAGAAGCTGGGTAGAATCTTTGAGGTCTACGCCTTGCTGAGCCATCTCCTTTTGCTTCTCCCTTTCTTTACGCAATGATCTCGCTGACTGCAGCATGTCTTCACTGTTTGGAGTTCCTTCGACCTTAAATAAGCAAGTAATTCCCATCACAATATATTATATTTCCTTTTATTTGGTATTATCCTAAAAAGGAATCTCAAAGTGAAAAATAAAATAACAAAAAATATTCTCACTACTTCACCACAAAATGCAAATGAAAATATATAGATCTATATATGGTATAGAATCTTTAAACTGACCCTCTGCTTCATTCTCTCAATCCTTCGCGTAACAAGATCTTTTTCCTCTTCCATTGCTGAGATGTCTCGCCGAAGTTCATGTGTGGAAAAGCCACTGTTTCTGAGACCTTCATATTCACGATGGATGGTCTTGAATTGCTCAATAAGATCTTCATACTAAAAAAAAAATATGCGTAAGTTGTGATATTATACACACTTTTCAATAAAAATCTAAAATACACTTACATAAATATATGCGTGTAATGTGCAGTTTGTACATGAAAGTTGGAAACTTTTTCAAACATAAATATTAGGAAACCTTAACTTAGGATACTACTGTAGTACCTTAATATGAATATCAGCAATATCAGCATCACCAAGAATCTCAGCAGGAATATCAAGCTTAACCAGATATTTTGCCAGATATGCTCGTTTCTTAAGCTCGTCCATTCGCTGAAGAAGCCAGTACAAAATTGGGTAGATAACATGTTTGTTTCCTGACACTAGTCCTTGACGGAAATTGCTCCTGGAAAGTTTAATTCAGATAAATATGATTTCTTTCATGTAAAATTCACACACATTTATTATAATATACTCTAATAAAGTTTACAATCTTCACCCAGAACACAAGATCAGATTGGTTAAAAAAAAAAGTTTAGATGAAAGTGGTGTATATAATAAATATAAAATGCCAAGGAATTCTGATAATAGAAAAGCTATTCCCTTGAAGACTGTCTTTATAAAGCTAATTAAAGAAATGAATGTAGGCATACAAGTACAGTAAATTAACAATCATGATTATACACATTATTCTCTATATCTTAACTGAAGAGAAAGTGCCTCAAAGAGTATTTTGTCTTACAATGTATATAATATCAGCCTATCAAACTGGCTAAAGTAGAACTAAACATAAATCATGCAGGAATTTGATTCATAACAGTTTATACCAATCTATTACATTAATCCAAATGTGACAACAACTACTGGCCTTAATCCTCTAAAAATAGGAAGAAATTATGTAATCAGTACAAATAGTAAGTAAAAATACATGCCAATTTCTTTTAATATCATGATTATTCACATATATAAAAATACAGTGGAAAGATCATTGAGACTGAAAGGACCAAAAGAAGCAAAAAATAAAAGACCCTTTTTCTATAATGATCAAATGACTGCAAAGTCCACTGTGCTCAAAAGCCATTTAAGACCAACGAAACTATTGATGACCGATGAATAACTTGTGTAAGCACATGCTGAATAGCCAAAAAGGCCTCAGATCTCCAGACTGCAGCCTTGTAGCCTTTCCATCCTTCTATTTTGCTTCATGCTTATATCCTAAAGAATGTCACATGCATCAGCCCTCTGGAGATCTTTCAAGTAGCATCTGCCCATTAAAGAGTTCTTGAGTTGATCCTGAAAGGTAAAATGAGCTATTCCATGCTTGCCTGCTGGTTAATAGGGTTATTGTGCAGTAATTGGATCTGATTTCCATTCCCATGCAAAACATACTAACACCCAGAATTTATCAGACATAAAATGTGTTACTTTAGTTATATCTGTGAGATCTATACATGAAATACAAAGACCTTTAAACTAGTGGTAGTGCTTACAGTATCTCTAGTAGTTCATAGCTACTGGGATTTTCAATATTATGAGGTATTTACATATCCTAGGAGTCATTCATCAATGTTCTGCATTCTGGGCTTGTTAAATCCTCTTTTTGCAATCCTATACTGTCCCTTGCTAGCACCATTTTTTTTCTAGTTCAAATGAAGAATAGAAATATCTGTCCTGAACTTTCTTCGTTTTCTATTTTTCTCTATGAAACCTCTAGATAACAAAATTTCTAGCACTGTAAATGTATGTGAATGTAAATGAAATATGTCAGTAAAGAATCACACTACACTAAACAAGCAAAAGTTCATTATCATGACTTTATCAGTCAAAGAAGGCAGGGAAAAGCTTTTACCCTTTAGCAATCTAAGGGTTAAGAGGCAGGTTATAATTTTGGCCTGGCTGGCTTCTGTGATAATATTATTTACAAGAAGTTTCTGTTAATCCATAACTAAATCAGGATTTTCTACTACTTACACTAATAGTGGGATGGACAGAGAAGTATTTTGCACATTCAGAATATTTTGTTCAGTACTTGTCCAATCACTAAAGAAATATCCTTATCCACAACATACCTATCTGAATTTCTATCTTTGATAATATACCACTAACTACAGTGAAAATCAGTAATGTGTACAAAATGCAATTTGAATTAAAAGTGGATCTGTGAAATAAGTCCTTACATCACTGTTGCTGGATTTCTGCTGGTGCTGAAAGTCATGAAAAAATGTTGTTGATATTAGCACAAAAATGGCCCTCTAAGTTCCATCAAAGAATCCATTCATCTTTTTCTATCATACCATCATTGCCAATGAGAATGATATGGTAAACCTGTTAAATTATTTAAAAAATAATAATTTTGCCTGTGCTTCCATTCATATCACTCGACATTCCTGTGCACAAAAACTGTGTAACAAAACATCCCATGGGTATCTGGAATCATCTGGGGCAAACAGGATTATACACACTAGATATAATTACGTCTAATGAAGAATCCTCCACGCATATTCCATCATGTCAGTGACTTAAAAAGGAAAACCAAAATTTTCTTTGCCAAAAAGACTTGTGACAATTGACTCACATGTTGTCATCCGGAGGTTTATACTTCAAAATACGAAGCATCCCCAGCATTCTGATGGCCATTTGTTCTGGCTCCTCCTCCCGAATGTCAAGACGGTTTTTGGAATCAATTTCCGCAAACACATCATTGAGGACCTGT